ACCATCACCATCACCATCACCATCACCATCATCATCACCACCATCATCATCATCATCGTCATCATCATCATCATCATCATCATCATCATCATCATCATCATCATCATCATCATCATCATCATCACCACCACCACCACCACCACCACCACCACCACCACCACCACCACCACCACCACCACCACCACCACACCACCACCACCACCACCACCACCACCACATCATCATCATCCCCCATCACATCATCATCATCATCATCATCATCATCATCATCCATCATCATCAGCATCATCATCTCATCATCATCACCACCACCACCACCACCACACACCACCATCTCATCTCATCATCATCATCTTCTTCATCATCATCATCATCATCATCATCATCATCATCATCATCATCATCATCATCATCATCATCATCATCATCATTATTCTCATCATCACCACCACCCATCATCATCATCACCATCACCATCATCATCATCATCTCATCATCATGAGCAGCAGTAGTCATCATCATCACCACCATCACCATCCCATCATCACCATCACCATCACCATCACCATCACCATCACCATCACCATCACCACCACCACCATCATCATCATCATCATCATCATCATCATCATCATCATCATCATCATCACCATCACCATCATCATCATCATCATCATCATCATCCTTTTTCTTCGTGGTCTTCTTCTTCTTCTTCATTTCCTCCTCCTTCTCATCCTTCTCCTTCTCCTCCTCCTCCTCCTCCTCCTCCTCCTCCCCCTTTTAGCTTTTCCCTTCCTTTCGCAGTCTCGCAGCCTCGCAGCCTCAAGCACAACACCTCCTCCTCCTCCTGTTCCTCCTCCTCCTCCTCCTCCTCGTCCTCCTCCTCCTCCTCCTCCTCCTCCTCCCCTTTCCTCCTTCCCTTGGTGTCCCTTCCCCATCTCTTCCTCCCGATCCCTCTCCGCCCTGGAAGACTCTATACGAAGAGGCTGGCACGAATGCCGTCGGGAGGGCTGCGGCCTGGCCATTCTGGGTCCAACTACCGGGCTGGGAGCCAGCAGCGCTTCTCCTCGAGCGCAGCCGCTTCAGTGCCGTGTGCTCCCGCCGCGGGGCTCATGGACGTCGCAGCTGCAGCGGAGAGGCGCCTAAGTGTGCCGGGCGCCCGCGGGGTGGTCGCCGCGGTGCTCGCAGCTGGTGGGACGCGCCAGCAGCGAACCGCGCCGATCGCCTCTGCTGCGCGCCGCGGGGAGCGTGCTCAGCTCAGCCTGGGCGTCAGCCAGGCGAGGCTGGCCGCGCACGGGGCCCAGCCGCCTCGAGGAGGCGTTGCTCGCGGCGCGCGCGGGCGTCAGCCAAGAGCACCTCGCGGAGGCACGGCGCGCAAGCGGCTGGGCCTCGGCCGCCACTCCGTGGAGCGCCACGTTTGCGGTCACGCCGGCGTCAGGCCCCTCGGCGCGGCCTTCGCGGGCAGCGGCGCCGGCGGCGAAGCAAAATGAGGACCAGCTGCAGCACAGGCTGGAGGATCAGCAGCGGCTGGAGGTGGGAGTGCAGGCTTGTGGCAGTGCTGCCAGCACTGAGGGCGAGCCTAAGCTGCTCATGACAGAGACGCCAGATCAACGCGCGCACCAGGCCGAGGTCGCGCACGTGGCCCAGCGCACGGCAAGGACCGAGCGCAAGGCGGCGGCTGCTAATTCAGCGACGCACGCGGTGCAAGCCTCGCGCGCGCAGCGTCGACCGAGGCCGCCTCGTCGACAGCGGGCAGGTGTGCTTTGCTTGGAGCGCTGGCCCGCCAATGCGGACGCCGAGCGCAAGGCCAGCGCCGAGCGAGCGGCCTTGGCTGATGGCGCGGCGCGGCCGAGCGCACGGCGGCGGCTCAGCGGCAACGGCGAAGGCCGCGCCGAGCGCTGAGGCCGAGCGCGCGAACGGCCGAGGCCGAGCACGCGGCGCAGGCCGAGGGCAGGGCGGCGGCCCAGTGCCCTGCGACCGCCGAGCGGGTGGCGCAAGCCGAAGCCCGTGGCAGGGGCTGGGTGCCAGGCGGCGGCCGCGGACGGGGCGCCGTGTGCTCCCCGGGGGCCGCGGCCCAGCACCTGCCGGCGGCAGCCCCGGAGGGCGACAAAGGGCTCTCGAGGTGGCTCCGGAAGGCGTGCTTGCGGCTGCTCGAAGCGAGCCACCCGGATCGAGGTGCCGCCCTGGACCAGGCCGCGGAGGCCGGGCAGGGGCCCGAGGCAGCGCGGGCAGCGCTGGCTGCCCGTGGGCGGATCACTGGTGCTCGGCCTCGCACAAGCGACGCCGGCCGTGATAGTGGATAACAGATGATCCAAATTTGTCGGATACCCTCCTTCCCCACTCCCCCCGCCATCGCCTGCTCCTCCTGCTGCTGCTGCTCCTCCTCCTCCTCCTGCACCTGCTCCTTCTCCACTGGATGAGAAGCAAGGCGAAGCCTGGATGAGGACAACATCATAACCAGAGGGTCTGAAGGATGTCTCTGGGAGCGGCCGTTCCAGAA